AGGCTTCCCCCGTCAGTTCCCTGTGACGCGGCCACGTCGGACGCAGGAGCGTCACGCAACTCCGCCCCGTCCAGACGCAGCACCCGGCTTAAAAGCCGTAGCTCCGGTATTGATCGGCGTCTTCAATTGAGTGTACTGGACGCTGACCAAACCAGCTCCTCACTCGCCCCCCTAAGGCCCCGTTCACATATAGCGAATTGTCGCGCGATTTCCGCCGCGATATCGCGCATTTTTGCCGCGCGATATCGCGAGAAGTCGCCGGCCAATGTTATTCAATGGAGCTGTCTTAACTCCATGTCGCGTGTCGCTCGTCGCGGTCGCAAGTCGCTTCTACCGGACCCTTTTTTCGGCGGATTTTGCGCGATTTTACTTTTTTTCTATGGAGCCCGACGGGGAAGGTCGCGCTACCGTCGCTGGATCGTCGCTGGAACGTCGCCCCGAAAGTCGCGCTATCCCGGCCGTGCGGATCCGCTGCAAAAGGTATGTCGCTATATGTGAACGGGGCCTAAAGACCTCAACCGCCTTATCCTAGCTGAGACTTCAACCTCATCGACAGCAAATACTCCGGGATACCGCATGCAGCATTGTCTGTCTTCCACAAATAAGCTAAGTACTCTGGGGAATACTATATACTGCAATTCCTGTCGTTGTACAATAGAATCTGAATGCTCTGGGAAATTGTATTCTGCATTTCTGTCATTTCATAAATAAGCTAAACACTCGGGGAATACCAACTTGCATTGAGATGTTCCAATCCTACCTGCATACTTAACACGCCCATTGTTGTGTCCTCCCCCTGGTGCTGACCCGGGGTACAGCACAGTGGGGGCTGTTCCCTATAGTACCCTCACGAACATACGGGGTGTGATGTGCTGCAACTTACTCTTGGCCTTATTCCAAAACTGGGCAGAAAGAGAATAAGTTGCTCTCTGATTCCCGTCCTATTGCGCTCCCGCTCATCCGCAGTTGCGATCCACTGTATCCGATAGGCCACACTCCAGGCGAGACGTTACACACAGCTGCAAACATTGTTAGATGTAACGGTCCGTACGGGGTCAGGACTTCTACTGCACTGGTATCAGCTCTGCCCCGCCCCCTGTGCTGACTATGGAGCCGCTCAGCCAGCACAAGGACACAAAGCCCTCTTATTTTCTGTATCCCCTTTTATCAATGAATAGGAATCCCCTATACTGAGTGCTCCTGATCATTCATAACATGAGGACAGAGTGTGTTTACTATAACCACAATTATGAATGAACAGGAAGTGATGTAGATGATGATGTAGCTCACTTCCCATTCATTCATAATTGGGGACACAGTAACCATACTCTGTCCTCAATTATTTGCATACACTCACTGATCACATGACGGCTTGTACCCGCTCTCCTCTCTGACGCGCTGTCACAGGAGGCTGAGCGAGCGGTGCGGGGAGGAGAGCTCCGCCTCCTGTGACAGCGCGGGCTGTCTCCGCCCACACCGCCGCTCTCCTAGAGTGGAGATGTGGGAACAGAGGGGATGTGGGGGAGAGTGGTAAATGTATTCGTAGTCCTCTATAGTTGATGTTCTCGGTATAGAAAAAAATGGTATCGGTGGATCTCTACTCCCATCCATACCGAGCTACAGACATGTATTAATGTGGATGGGAGGCAGAATCCATTGACTTCAAGTGCGGTGCACAGGCAGCCGTCTGAGGGCGCGCGCGGGGGCGGGGCAAAAATGTTCCTTCGCCTGAGTAGGCAAAAATCCTTGCACCGGCCCTGCTCAGAGCAGAACCATTTCCTGTGAGCTCAGCCTTTCATCTACACTCCCCCCAGAGGTCCACATTACATAGTTACATAGTATTTGAGGTTGAATAAAGACATTAGTCCATCAAGTCCAACCTATTAGGATCTCATTCTAGGAGTACCCGTACCCCTACGGGCCGGGTCCGCAGTACTCTAGAACTAACCAGTACATGTGTGGCACTCAATGCTGGAAGAATAGCTGCCTTCCCTTCTTCTTTCCTCCCCCTTATTATCCTTCCCTTTTCTTTCTTCCGTCCCCCTATTCTTCTTTCCTTCCTTCCCCCTATGCTCCTTCGCTCTCCTTCCTTCCCGGTATTCTTCTTCCCAGCCCCTCCCTTCTTTCCACTATTCTCCTTCCCTTCCTTCCTTCCCCCTATTCTTCCCTATCTATCCCTTCCTTTACCCTATTCTCCTTCCCAGTACTTCCCTTCCTTCCCCCTATTCTCCTTCCTTCCTTCCCCCTATTCTCCTTCCTTCCTTCCCCCTATTCTCCTTCCTTCCCCCTATTCTCCTTCCCACTCCTTCCCTTTCCATCCTCCCTCCTTTCCTCCCTTCCTTCCCCCTATTGCCTTCCCTTCCCACTCCTTCCCTTTCCTCCTTTCCTTCCCCCTATTCTCCTTCCTTCCTTCCTTCTCTCTATTCTCCTTACTTCCCCCTATTCTCCTTCCCTTTCCTTCCTTCCCCCTATTCTCTTTCCTATTAGTACCTGTGTGACGTGTCCCCCCTTTCCATACCCTCCCGATGTCATACACAGGGCCGGCCTTAGGCCTTTAGGCGCCCTGTGCGAGAAAGCTTTACAGCGCCCCTCAGTGGCCACACCCCCAGTAACCACACCCATTTTCCCCAATATCCGCACCATTTAAAGACTCCTGTTTTGTTTAGTTTTCACTTTAAAAAAAATGTTTTATATATATATTATTTATGTATTTATTTTTTACTATTGGGGGGCTTCAGGGAAATATTAGGGGTCCAAACAGACCCTTGACATTTCACTTTTAAAATAGAAAAGAAATTGAGGACACCAAATCCTCAAATTCTTTTTCAGCATCCCCTGCACTCAATGAATGGGAAGCACTCAGTACAGAGGCTCCTCCCCATTCATTCAGAAACTGCTGATAGTAAAATATTTACTATCAGCAGTTTCTGAATGGG